AGAGCATGGCTTGGGAGAGCTCAAGCCTATGAAGGAAAAGCGAAAAAGGGGGGAGGGCTAGGCTTAAAACAAGCCTATCAAAAGAAAAGTGTAGCCTGGGAAAGGCCCTACCATGCATTTAGCTAACTGTGTCCTGCACTGACAGATTGGAACGATGCCCAGATTGCTCCTGCTACCTTCAAGCCCTGACCTCGAGGCACATTAGGCCANTTGAGAGCCAGACAGAAGAGTAGAGGAGATAGCGTGTCGCCCTGGAAGATCCTGCGTGTGATGGAAATCTCGCGTGTTGTCAGAGTGGAGTCCTGTCCCTTGAGGGACGTGACCGTCTTCCAGTGAGGCATGGTTCGTTCGAGGAAGTTGACCACCACAGGGTTGATGTTGTACATCCTGAGGCACTCGATGATCCATGAATGGGGCACCGAGTCATATGCCTTCTGGTAGTTGATCCATGACATCGAGAGATTCTTCTTCCTGGTTCTGGCATCGTCCATGATCATACGGTTGAGTAAGAGCTGTTCCTTGCAGCCGTATGATCCTTTCCGACAACCCTTTTGCTCTTCCGACATGATGTTGTTGTCATATATGTGTCGTTCGATTCGTGCCGCTAGGATGGAAGACAGCACTTTGTAGACGGTTGGCAGGCAGGTGATAGGCCTGTAATTCTTGGGTAGTTGGGTCTCGGCGTTTTTCGGCAGTAGGTAGGTGACTCCTGCCGTGAGCCAATCCGGCATCTCCGGGGGGTCTGTCACTACCTTCTGCATTTCTCTGGCGAGTTGTTCATGTGAGTTGAGATCTGAGTTGTTCATATATATATATATATATATATTTTTTTTTTTGTTTGTTTACTTATACTTATGTAGGAAGTGAATACCTTTCTGATCAGCCAAGATCCGATTGCCTTTTTTTCTTTTTAAACTCGCTTTCCTCTCAGAAATAAATGTAAAGGCTGAAAAACCAGCTGGATATTTCAAACATATTTTAACGTGTGAAATTGCTCTGACATCTGACTCGACTGACTGCGATATACGATTCCTGGTTTTCTCTCTCGTGTTGTCCCCGTTCGTCGTCGCTTTATTAAAAGTCACGCGGAATGTACTTTCGATATCGTTCCTGGCATGCTGTACACACCTGGCGAATCGTGAAGGGCGAAAAGGGTAGCGAAAAGAGTATCGAAGAGGAAATGTGAAAAAATCACCTCTGCAGGTCATGCAGGCCGCGAGAGGACCGAGAAGATAGGGGGTCGTCTCGGACGCCCCTCACGTTCGCATTCTCTGGGGTCCGAGCTCCTCTCTTGCGAACTCGAATAAAGTATTTATCAGGCCGTTCGTAGCCTGTATGTAATCATTAAGCTTCTTGTCCTGAGAGGCGAAAGTCTCACTTTTGCCTTTACGGCTCTCTCCGCCTGGCCAGAAGAGGGAATGGTTGGGGGGCGAAGGTGGCTGACAATCATTCGTTCTCGAATCCCGCGATATCTCAGCGCTGTTATGCTCTGGAAATACGAGGATGTGTATGGAATGTTGCGTGGTCTAGAGCGTTGGAGAGGGCTTGTTGGTGGATATGAACCCGATTTTTTTAAAAATAGTGTCTACGTTGTGGTCCTTGTAGATTAAGTGAGACGAACTTCGACGCTGCTATCAAATACTTCATCGCATTATTCGACGTAATGAGAAATCTTATCTGCATTTTCAACCGAATTGCTCCAGTGTTCGGTCTCAAAACGAGGGCGGGCAGTGCGTGCATTCTCCTCGGTTCGGATAGTAATAGCCATACCCATTCCGCAGATGTCTGTCTTGAAGACACGTCGTCCCTACGAAAATAAGAGCAAGAAGGACTGGTTGCAGTGTGGCCTTGGAGTTACACAAAATCCGTAAGTTTATCTTTGGTCAATTCCAATACTCCGGCCATAATACAAAGTATTCAGATACTCACGTTATGAATTATGCCGAGCATCCGCATTTAGTATGCCCTTGTGCCATGTGCCACGTTCCGCTGAAGAGAATTCGAAAAATAATCCTCGGTAGAAGAGAAGGAACATGCGGCATCACTCTAGGCCGATCGCAGTAGAACAATGGCATCCTCCTGTGTTCCAGTAGACCCGCAGGTTGTAAGTCAGGTGTATTGGTGACGAGACTTGCAGTGATTTGCAAATGAATTCGTACATCCTTTAACCTTTCCCAGCCCGTGTTTCATGACGATTTTATTCCTGGCCAAGTCCAACCTAAGTGCTCCACTCTGGGCGCTCTCAATATTTACCATAGGCATTTTCTCCGTCTTTTTATTGCAACGTTACTAGAAACGAAGCTCTAGACTGTTCTAGAGTAGCATAACTTTGTGTCAGGAAAGCCCGACATAGGACCAACCAGCGAAAAATCGAATATCGGGTCTCTCCGATAGTGAGCTGGAAGAGTTTAATATGGTCTCCATAGGCCTAATATAATATCTTGGATGGGAGATATACCGATGCCTCCTTGGATTCACCATTGAAATAACATCGGGGAGTGTAACTTCAGTACACTTTAGTATGTGCCATAGTAATTTGTTAATGAATTGGTACGAATTTATTTGCAAATTACCGTAAAGGTGAATTTTTTATTTATTTCATTGATGCAACAGAATTTTGGGCATGGTATGATAGGTTTACAGGACTGGTAAACCTAGGATGTTTTGGTGTACAGATAGTCATTTGATCTTCCTTTTTCCCTCTCTGGCCATTGCCTAAGCTATCTGTCACAGAGGCCTATTTTTAGCAGAGAGCATAACTGGGAATTTCGCAATTTCTGTTAAGAAGTAACATATCTGGAGTAAATATGTTAAGGTACAATGCATGAAGTACATCATAAGACCAATTGAAACCCCTTTAATGTGCAAGTGACTGTTTATTGTGTGGGCATTCCTGACATGTCTATATGTATAATGTTGCCAATCATGATGCCATTAGTTATTCACTGTGTGGGTAGGATTCATAATGAAATATAAGATATACTATGGTCTAAAGGAAGTAATAAAAGGTAATTTAGAGCTTGCTTGTAGGAGAAGGAGTTGTGATAGCAGTATATCTGCCCTTTGCTGAACAAGTCACCACCAGTTGAACGTTTTAAGCGTGTGCTTGCTAACCTTTGAGTGCTGTGCACATGCTGCATCAGGAAAATGCCTATTTGGGTTTTCTCCATTCCAGATGTAAAGTTCAGATTTCCATGGATGGGCATGTCATACCATCTCAGAAAAAATCAGTGATATGCCAAGGCTAATCCAGCAACAAAGGGGCAGGGTGGCAAAAATGCTCCAAGATGGTATAACACATGTTGTGTTACACCATCTTGGACCAGGCAGGCAGAACACTTGACCTTGAGAAATGTAGTGATTTTCAAAGTTAAGAGTTCTGCCAGTTTTGATGAAGTGTTGATTCATTCCTGTTTAGGCCACATGAACTCATGTTATCACAATTCCTACAATACAGGCAAGCTCTAAATTACCTTGCAATGTTTCTTTTGGACATCAGTAAATAACAACAAAAGACAAATATAGTATTATAGAATAAGCCTCACCATTACTGATTTACATATAAACATCCACTCTTTCATTCTACTGTTTGCTGAGAGGCTGTTTTAGCATCCATGCCATTGTTCTATATGAGACTTGGGACAAAAACTTTGTTGCAGCAGTTGGTTTAAGATTACCTCTTTCTCAAGCTTATGATATGATGCCTGCAAACACTATAAAATGGACCTCAAAATAAATGGAAATGATTTTTTGTCCTTTAACATGCATTCTATGAAAGCACTTTCCTAAATACAGGATGCCAATGAAGAAGTCTTCTGACTAGGAAACCTCACCCTTGATCCCCTCCTAGAATTAATGAAGGTGGAATAATCAATAGTAAGAATTTAATATTCAGTAGTACCTTGGTACTATTGTTCTCTCTTGAATTCTCATCCATTCTCTCTCTCTCTCTCAAAATTAGATATCTGCTCTAACATCTCTCCTAACATGAGGAGTGAATTCTTGGAGTTATATCTTTGAATCTAGTGATCTTTGAAGTCAGTTTGTTGTAGTGATGAGTGTTTGGAATTGCATCAGTGAGAGCTTTCCCCAGCAGGGATATATGAATGCTTTGAGAATGTCAATGTAATATGCCAACACCAGGAAAGGATTAAGAACTTGAAAAGCACACCTAACTATAGACTTTGATTTTTGTAGTGCTTATTTCTGGGAAAAAACTGGATCTTAATTCAAAAGAACCAAAGTATGAGCTAATTCCAGATAATTAAGTATGGGCTTTAGCTCATACTTAATTATCTCTTTATCAGTTTTTTTGCTCTCATGTAATTTAAAGTTCAGTTTGAGTTTTGTTGTGTTATGTTTCTGTTCACTGATATCAGCTAAATTAATGTTTTAGACTAATCTCTGTCAATCAAATAGTATGTGGTGAGAATCCCTTCTTGATCTTGAGTTGATTCGGATTCCCATTTCCTGAAGGAGTTCTTGGTTATTTCCAGCACAGTGCATTTGTATTGCTGAGTATCAAGGTAGTTTAGTGGTATCATTTAGATAACATCCATTCAGATGCCACGTGTCAAGGTTGAGCATTCCTTAACTTTAGGATGGGCCTACTCCTCTAAATATTATTGTATTTTTGTGAATTTTTTAATTTATGTATTTTTTATTTATAGCATATCCTAGTTGCTCACTACATTGTCCCTTACATCAACATTGCCCACCTTTTTGCTTGGCCATAAAAGGATCTAGTTTCTTTGAGTGATACATTCATAAAGAGAGCTAACATTACCATAACATTATAACATAATATTACCATTTAACCAAAGTAAAACCTAAGGTTTTGGTTATTCACATTGTATATTAGATTTTGTGGTGCACTCCAACTGCATCCTGTGCTCATGATACATGTTATGTTCTCACAGTTGGCTTAACTTGATCTTATTCTTTTGGAAAAAGATAAGGGAAACACTTTCCATATGTCTCATTTAGAGTTTCACCACCTGTTCTTCAAATTAGGTAATTTTCAAAATCCGAGCAGTGACATAATGAAGGTGAACCTAAAGATAGTCTATCTCCAGGATGGAAGGATCCAGCAACTCGCTTCTCTTCGTCATGTTTCTTTAGGCACATCAGCTGAGAATCCAACATTACAGGATCTAGGCGAAGTTGCTCGTGATGCCATCCAAGGGTTTTCACACACCCATCTGTTTGGATACAGGTCAGGGTCACCTTTGGCTTCATTTAAGTTTGGCTGTGATTTAAACTGCTGTATTTTAAGTCATGAAAGGAGTACTTTGAGTCAGTTTGTTTTTTTAAATTTTTTTTGGCAATACCCACAGTGATTCCTCATTGTCATCATTCAATTTGAGTTTGAATGGGAGAACACCAATTAGTGACTCTGAGGACACTTCATTATCCACCCTTGGGATCGTCCCCGGTGACCTTGTCTATGTTGTCTTGTCTTCTCCTTCTGCCCAAGTTCTTCACCTTTTGGGTATGTCTCAATTCCCTTTTTTTGTTTAATCAGATTGCAAAGCAATGAAGCTGCATATCTACTATTTAAATTCTATTATGGTTTGGTTCTACAATCAGTAGCAAAATATTTTTTGCCATCTCCTCGATGAAGGTGAACTTTCTCAGCATTTACAGAACATCCATTTCAATCATGGCATATAGGAAATGTGACGGTCAATTGACCACCATTTTATTGATGGTTATTGACCACTCTTTTACTTTATTCAGTTAATTAAGAAAATTTTATAGAGCTCATAACTGTGGTCATTAGCTCCAGCACTAAAACCAAAGAGCCAATTCCATTTTAAAGCTATATTCATGCAGCCCACCAAACATCTGGACTGTGGCACCTGTTGGATATGAAAATACGATGGGAAATGCTCAAACTACCAGGACCTCTTGCCCGAGTGGAGTAGAGTGTGTTTCAGGCATAACCTGTTGTTCAAGGTCTTCCAGCCTTAATGAATTTGAAAGTTAAGGTTCTAAGTTGCAGCTTTAGAACTTCAGTTTGACCTTTAACTTGCAACTGGGATTCACACAATCCCAAGAAAAGTATTCTTAGACTTGCATCTGGGATTTCCTCCACCCCAAAAATAATGGAGTGAGTTCTTTATTTTGGGCACTCATATACCCATAGCTTTCCTTTCATTTGGACAGTACTGATGGCTGTTGTCATAGCAACGTATTTAAAGGGTCACCAATGAAACCTGTTAGGCAGTGTTCACTTTGGCATTTGAATCCACCTTTCAAAGGTTAATGCAAGGTCTATCAGGATCTTGGCCAATAGTCTGCATCAGAGTATCAAATTATTCTCAGAGTCTGTGATCAGGGCACTAGTACTTTGGCCTTGGCCAAAGCTGAAAAAGTTGATCTAGCTATGAAGAACTGAGCAAAGCAGAGGATATTTTTTTTCTGGCAGGAACAGGGATAAATGTTAATCCCTGAAACCAAGAAACTCCATTTCTGGAAACTGTGTTCATTCCTCATTATTCAGAGTACTTATGGAGCTACCTAGTTGCAGAATTTACCTCTGAAACATGACTGATTACTGTTAAATGCTCTAACTCATGCAATCTATGGTAAAGTCTATCATAGCAATGAGATGTTGACTGGTCAGCATGGTCATTTATGATCATATAGTCATAAGCCCTAACCTCTTGTTGGGCTGGTTGACCATTATTGTCCATGGTCAGCAGTGACCATGTTGACCAGTCAACTTCTCATCCCTAGTCGGTCACTTGTGAGTCATGATGTACAAATGGAGCACAAACTGTGCAGGAAAAATCAAAATAAAAGTTGGCCTGATTTACCTGTTTTGACTAGTCAATTGACATGTTTTTAATCGACCTTTCAATAACCCATCCCTAATGGTATGTCAACCATGCATCTATCTCTTTTCATGCTATATTTTACCAAAGGATGATGGCTAATTTCTTTCTCATGTTTGTCTTTAACTATTTCTTCAGGCCAGGAAAAAGAAAAAGGCAAGAAAGAGGTGATGCCGACATCAGTTTGTAGCTCAGGGAGCTCAGCCATATTGACTTCTACCCTGACTAGCAGTGAGACAAGTCCCAGCATAACAGGTGTCTCAGCTACCCTTGGGAAAGGAACAAGCATTGGCCCTGATGTTCCCTCTTCCACTGTTGATTCCTCAATGGAATTTAATTCCAGTCCTCCTAGGATAGGCAGGTGAGACACTCTTAGGGCAGTAAGAGTCCTACATGAAGGCTGTCATACTAGCAAAAATATGATGAAAAGGATAAGAAATGGAAAATAAAAGTTAAAAAGAAATCATAAATGGAGTCAAACAATGACCATTTACATTCAAAAGACCTGTGACATGGGCTGCTTCTCTTTTTAATAAAAGCCAAACTTGCACAATTGATGAAAATTGAAAGAGGGAAATAGACTGTTTTATTGGGTTGTAACATATATTCCCGCCGTTTTTATATTTTGTTCGTTTTCACTCCATATTTTTTAAGTTTGGTAAAGTGGATATAGTCATTCGAAAGAGCTTTCTTTCCTCTACAAACTTATTGCCACCATTTTTCCGAATAACTTAATTTTACTTAACTTTCAGGTATTTGAAATGGAAATACCAGGCGGCAAGAAAACCCATTTTCGACACTTGCTTTATTTCGCGTTTCGCCGTAATCAAAAAGCAGCCGAAGCAGCTCGGGATATTTGTGCCGTTTACGGAGAGGGTGCTATAGCTGCGAGGACTGCTCGAGATTGGTTTGCCAAGTTCAAAAATGGCAACTTCGACCTGGACGACACGCCTCGCTCTGGGCGACCTACCGAGTTCGAC